ACTTGACCTTCCCTTCTCCAACCGCCTATGTATTTTCTTCCCAGAGTGGTCACGGCTGACCTCAGACCAGTGGGTCCTCAACACCATCTCCTGGGGCTATACCCTCCAGTTTCTTGCTATCCCACCCACCCACCCACCTTCCCTCCCCATCACTCTTCAGGGACCCCTCTCACGAGGGATTATTCGAGCAAGAGGTGTGGCGGCCCCTTCACTTAGGAGTGGTGGAGGTGGTGCTGGCGGAGTTCAGATTCAAGGGGTACTACCATCTATTTCCTTATCCCAAAGGTGAAAGGGTGGCTCAGGCCCATCCTGGACCTGTGAGGCCTGAACCAGTATGTGGTAAAGCTGAAGTTTCAAATGGTCTCTCTGGCCTCCATTGTCCCCTCCCTGGATACCAGAGACTGGTATGCCACCCTCGATCTACAGGAGGCATACTTCCACATTCATATATTCAAGGGCCACAGGCGTTTCCTCCATTTCACGGTAGGGCAGGAACACTACCAGTTCACTGTCCTCCTGTTTGGCCGATCAACTGCTCCCAGGGTCTTCACAAAGTGTATGTCTGTGGTAGTGGCCTACCTTGGGCATTGGGGGAAGTCCAGATTTTTCCCTACCTCGACAACTGGCTGGTCAAAGGCAGCTCCAGATCACAGGTACAGGATCACGTAACTCTCCTCATGTCCACACGCTCCACACTGGGGCTGCTGGTAAACAGCACCAAGTCCACATTGGTACCGGTGCAACACATAACGTTCATTGGAGCGATTCTGGATGTGACATTGGCCAGAGCCTGCCTCCCTCCCTCCAGAGAGATTCGAAACCCTGAGGGAGCTCATTGGGATGGTCACAAGGTTTCCTGTGATGACTGTCAGAACGTGCCTCCAGCTCCTGGGTCATACGTTGGTGTGCACATACGTGGTTTGTCACACCAGACTCAGGATGCAGCCCCTTCAGCTCTGGTTGGCCTCGGCTTTCTCCCAGTCCAGAAACAGGATGGACAAAGTCCTCACTGTGCCCGAACCTCCCTCTGCTGGTGGTCCACCCCGGGGAACATGCTCTAGGGGGTCCCATTCAGGAGCCGGCCCCCAACTGTAGAGTTGGTGTCCGATGCGTCGCACTTGGGGTGGGGGCCCATGTGGGAAATCTTTAGACCCAAGGTCTGTGGTCCACACAGGAACTAGCCCTGCACATAAATGTCAAGGAGCTCAGGGAAGTCCGTCTAGCCGCTGTGGCCTTTTGCTCGTGCCTAGCAGGCAGGAGGGTCAGGGTTCTCACGGACAACACGGCCTCCATGTTCTACATCAACAGGCAAGGCGGGGTCCACTCCTCAGCCCTCTGCCAGGAAGCCCTCAGGCTGTGGGATTTCTGTATAGCCCACGATATCACCTTGGAAGCCCACCACTTACCGGGTGTCCGAAACTCTCGGGTGGATCGGCTGAGCCGAGACTTTTCTTCTCAGCATGAATGGTCGCTGCACAGGATTTTCCGCATGTGGGGCACTCCCCAACTGGACCTCTTCATGACCAGGCAGCACTGCCTGTGCCTCCATTTCTGCTCCGGGGAGGGCTGGGCGTGGGCGTGATCTCCGATGCTTTCCTTCTGTCTTGGTCGGGTTAGCTTCTGTATGCTTTCCCCCCTTGATTGTCAAGGTCTTGGAAAAGATCAAGATGGACAAGGCTCACGTCCTTCTGATCGCCCTGGCATGGCCCAGGCAGCACTGGTACAGGACTCTCACGAGCTTGGCAGTCGCCCCGCCATGGCTGTTGCCAACCTGCCCGGACCTTCTCTCCCAGGACCGAGGTTGCCTCCTCCACCCCAACCTAGCAGCCCTCCACCTCACAGTGTGGTTGCTCAATGGTTAGACCAGGAGGAGAGGACTTGCTTGGAAGGTGTCCAGCGCATCCTACTGAAGAGCAGGAGGCCCTCCACACCTCAGGCCTACCTGGTGAAATGGTCTCGGTTTCCTGTGGGCTACTGATTGGGGCGTTTTCCAGTGGTTGCCCCAATCCAGCTCACATTGAATTACCTCCTTCATCTCAGGGCCTAGCTCCCTCATCTGTCAAGGTGCATCTGGCAGCCATATTGGCTTTTCACCCACCAGTACAGGCCACATGATATTCTCTCATGCCATGACCAGTCCATTCCTTAAGGGCTTGGATCGCCTCTTTCCTTATGTTAGGCCCCTGGTTCCTCAGTGAGATCTGAACTTGGTGCTAACCAAGTTATCAGGATCTCCATTTGAGCCGCTTGCTACATGCTCCTGGTCCCACCTCTCATGGAAAGTAGCTTTCTTGTGGTGATCAAGTCTGCTAGGCGGGTCTCCGAGCTCCAGGCCCTGACCTCCAAACCCCCGTATATGGTGTTCCATAAGGACAAGGTCCAGCTCCCACCACACCCTTCGTTCCTCCCTAAGGTGGTCTCCGCCTATCATATGGGCCAGAATATTTTCCTGTTGGTGCTCTGTCCCAATCCCCATGCGTCCAGTGAGGAGCACTGCCTCCACATGCTAGATGGGCTCTGGCCTTTTACCTGGAACATATGAAACTGTTCAGGAAGTCTTCGCAACTGTTCATTGCCACGGCTGAGCACATGAAAGGTCGGCTGATCTCTACCTGGCAGCTCTCCAACTGGATCACTTTGTGTATCCGGACTTGTTATGACCTGGCGGGAGTTCCCCCGCTGCCGATTGTGAGGGTGCACTCGACAAGGGCGCAAGCCTCGTTGACTGCCTTTCTGGCTCACATCCCTATTCAGGACATTTGTAGGGCTGCCACATGGTCATCGGGACACACGTTAACCTCGCATTATGCGATCGTCTCCCGAACTAGGGAGGAAGCCGGGTTCGGCAGGGCAATGCTCTGTCCCAAGTGTCTGTGAACTCCTACCCACCTCTAACAGATATAGCTTGGAATCGCCTATTGTGGAATGCACATGAGCAATCACTCAAAGAAGAAAAGGCAATTACCTTTTCTGTAACTGTTGTTCTTCGAGATGTTTTGCTCATGTCCACTCCACATCCCGCCCTCCTTCCCCTCTGTCGGAGTTGCCTGGCAAGAATGAACTGAGGGTGGGGGGAGCGTGCAGTGCCCCTTATATGGTGCCATGGCGGCGCCACTCCAGGGGTCACTAGGGGTGCTCCCCTATGGGTACTGCTAAGGGACATGGCAAGCACACACACCTATTGTGGAATGGACATGAGCAACACATCTCAAAGAACACCAGATACGAAAAAGTTTCAGAGTAACAGCCGTGTTAGTCTGTCTTTGCAAAAAGAAAAGGAGTACTTGTGGCACCTTAGAGACTAACCAATTTATTTGAGCATGAGCTTTCGTGAGCTACAGTTCACTTCATCGGATGAGCTGTAGCTCATGAAAGCTCATGCTCAAATAAATTGGTTAGTCTCTAAGGTGCCACAAGTACTCCTTTTCTTTTTGCAGATATGGAAAAGGTAATTGTCTTTTTCTAACCCATGATTGCAAACACAGAGATGTGTTATTGGCTTTGGATGGGGGACAAATGGGAAATCAGTAGGGATTCTTGCCCCAAACAATAATCACCCATTGTCCTGTTGAGCTCAAAGGGCTCTAACACTCCTGACCTGCTCACATCTCCCTACTGCTAGGAGTAAAAGAAATTTCTCCACCCCCATTACAAAGGTGCGGAAAATGAGGTAAAGAGAAAGGAAGTGACCTATCCATGGTCACACAGCACCATCGTGGCAGAGCTAGAAAGGGAAGCATACGAAAAAAGTTTTAAATGTAAAACATTTTTGATAAAAACTGATTTCTTAAACAAAGGAAACGTTATTTTTTTTTTTTTTTTTATAAATTAAATAAAAAAAAAAAATTAAATTAAATTTATTTATAAATATAAAAAAATTTATATATATAACCCCCGAGAGGGGGAAGCACCTCCTCTCCCCCCCCCCCCCCCCGGGGGGGGACCCCCCCCCCCCAACCCCATTAAGGGGGCCCCCCCCCCTCCCCGCGGGGGGGAAAAAAGGAAGACCCAAAAACCCCCCCCCCCACTAAAGGAGCCGGGGCCGGGGGGGGGGGGGCGCGGCGCGAAACCCCCCAAGAAGCCCCTTTTGGGGGAAAAACCCCCCAACCCACAAAAAAAGGGAAGAATTATATTCCCCCCTTTTTTCCGGGGGAGAAAAAAAAAAAAAAGGGGAAGAATCCCCCCAGAGCCCCCAAAACAAAAAAAAACCCCCCAAAAAAAAGGGGGGGACCCCCCACCCCCACCCCCCCCCTGTCTCTCCAGCCGGGGTAACCCCCCCCCCCAAGCCAGGGAGACTGGGAACAGGCTCCTGCTTGCAATTGTCAGCTCTGGAAAAGTACCTGGCCAATTTTGGGGGCCCCAGAAAAATAGGCACCTGAGCCCCAGCAGGAGCCACAGGGGGAGTAAGCCCCGAGCCTGGGCAGCCAGAGCCCTGGCAGGAGAGAATTGGAGGGTGGAAGCCTCAAGCCCGGCACCCCAGTCCCCGCTGCAGCTACGGAGCAGCAGCCCTGAGCCTGAGTGCCTCAAGTTCTGGCTCCAGCCGCGGGGGCTGAAGCCTCGAGCGGCCACTGCAGCTGCCGGGCAGAAGCCCTGAGCCCAGGTGCCCAGATCCCTGGCAGGAGTGTGTGTGTGTAGGGGAGAGGCAGAAGCCCCAAGCCCAGGCACCTGGCTGGAGTTTTCGGGAGCTCAAGACATGAGTCTGGGTGCCCCAAACCCTGGCTGCAGCCTCAGGGGCCAGAAGCCCTGAGCCTGGGCACCCAGAGCCCTGGCCGGAACAGGAGCAGGTGGGGGTGGGGGCAGAATCCCCAAGCCTGGGCAGAAGCTGCCAGGGCCAAAGCCCTGAGCCCAACTCCGGGGCTGCTGCAGCACAGATCTGAGGGTGTACCAACCTCACTAATGCGCTGCGTCTACAGGTGAGTCTGATAGCCCCACCGAGAGCAATTGTGCAGGGGAAAATCTTGTCCTGTCCCCAGCCCAGCGGACTAGCGGGATGCTCCAAGCCGGCACGGGAAGATGGGATTTCACAGGGCAGGGCTAATTTCACTGTCCTTTATAATTGGTAGGGGCCTAGCTATAGAAAATAATGAGTACCAAAATGCTCTTCAATCTAGTCAAGAAAGGCACAACAAGAAGCAACGGCTGTCAGCTGAAGCCAGAGAAATTCAAATTAGAAGTGAGGCAAGAATTTTTGACAGTGACGGAGACAAACCAATGGAACAAATTACCAAGGGAAGAGGTGGAGTCTCTGTTTCCTGATGGCCTCACATCACAACTGGTTGTCTTTCTGGAAGGTGGGTTTCAGTGAAACACAAGGAATTGAGCTTAATATGGGGTAAGTGTCTGAAATGTCATGACTTGTGAAATAGAGGCTGGATTAGGAGATCTAATGGCCTACAAATCTATGAAAAACTCAGTGCGGGATGAGGAACAGATTCTGCTGTTTTACTGGAAAGCCTGCTTGTTCCCCAGAATCAAGAGTGAGCAAGTGGGGTGATCGGGGGAGCAGCTCAAACATCCAACCTGGCTGTCCAGGAGCAGACATCAGCCCTGCAAAGGGGAGGTGAGTGTGGCAGTGACTTCACAAGGGCCTTTGGCAGGAATTCAGCCTATTGGGCAGAGTTGGTGAGGAGGCTGTGACCTCACAGAGCTCCCTTGACATCAGACATGCAGTACAGCGGTGCAGGTCAGGGGGAACCTCGGAGACCCCTGTAGCCTTGCTGAAGCAATCCTCCTTCTCACGGTCTCTCCTTGAGGACCAAGAGAGGATTTGTGTTCACGCACCTGAGTGCTAAGAAGGAGCTTCTTTGGGAGTTTTCACCTTCCTGTGTTGATTTTGGAGAAAGCAGACATCTCCTGTGTAGAAGGTAAGATTCTCAGTGAGAGTTGGAACTTCTTCAGTCTTCTCCATGCATTGCCAGCCGAGCTCTAGGCTCGGAAAACAAAAGGTAAATGGGCAGAAAAATGTCCCGCCTAGGATTCTTCCCCTTAGTAACGGGCTACCTAAAAGGTCTCAAAATGTAATTGTAAAGGAGGAATCGTTCTCAGGCAAGTATCTTTCTAGTAGGATCCTGCAGGGAGTGGTTCTTGGCGCTAATGCTATTTAACATTTTGATCAGTGATTTGGAAGCAAATATACAATCATCATTGGTAAAATCTTGGTTATGAAGTATTTCTGGAGATTTAATCTAAATCCGCTATGCTATAGTTTGAACCCATTGCCTCTTGTCCTGCCCTCTGTGGCAAGAGAACAATTTTTCTCTATCTTCCTTATGAAAGCCTTTCAAGTATTTGAAGATTGCTATCATTTCCCTCTTTTCCAATCTAAACATACCCAATTCATCCAGCCTTTGCTCATATGACTTACATTCCACACCTTTGATCATTTTTGTCACTCGCCTCTGGATCCTTTCCAGTTTCTCTACATCCTTTTCATACAGCAGTGACCAAAATTGGACACAGTACTCCAGCTGAGCCCTAACCAGCGCTGAGTAGAGCAGTACCATCATCTCCTATGACTTGCATGGTATGCCTCTCTTTATGCAACCCATATTGCGTTTGCTTTTTTGCATTTGCTGTGCAGAGAGCCTGAAAACGGTTTTGCACCTCTATCTGCATTGGGGGTACATAGGTTCTCCTCTTTCTTCTTCTGGAGGTCACATGCTGCCAATATTCTCCCCCGTTCTGCACTGCACTCTTTGATTCTTCAGCATATTGTGCTTCAAGCACCAAACAGACTTCTATCCAGAAAACCTTCATGTTCTCTGATGCAGCGCAGGGTTGATACTTGCCTCCCTAGTCCTTTAACCTTCTCTTCCAATAGAGTGAGCACACACACACATTGGAAGAGTACAATGCCTACAGGAAAGGGAAACAGATATTTACAGAGGAGAAAAACAACAGGGGCAAAGATAGGGGAAGCAGTAAAACAGGGTTACATTCAACACAAGGCCCTACAGGCCCAGTGGTACCACACTCTGAAAGGGCTGACACCGAGCAATGTGTCTGCACACAGAGTTCAGGAGTCCTGGGCAAAGTTCCTGTCCAGTGGGGAGTCTTGGGTGCTCCTGGTCGTCTTTGGTGCCAGTAAAGTTTCCCCAACAAAACCCCTCCAGTGTCGTCTTCTGCTGCTCTCTGCAAAGCCACACAGAGCGACATGCGACAACCTCCCCACTTAACTAGCTAACAGCCTCCCTCCTGATTCCCAATGCAAAGTCACAAGCCCCAGTACTCACGGCCCCATACAGCCCTGGGCAGCACTGATACTTGATCCAGCTCCGATTTGTCCTTCTCATGCGAATCCACCCTAGCGCAGTGCTCCTCCTGGCTCCTGTCCTGGGGTGTCCCTGATCCCCAGCTCTGTCCCTCCCAGGCTTCAGGCAGGTTCTCCGCTACTTCAATCTGTGAGGGCCTGCTTGCTGCAGCCCTTCTGTCTGGACCTCCAGACGCACACCCTATCGCTTTCTCCCCCATCTCTCTGCTCCCCTGCCCTCCCAACAGGACTTCCTCCCGATGGAACAATCAGCAAACCCTCCCCAACCCCCACCCCCCGAAAAGATCCACTGAGCTGGATCCAGAGGTTGGGTCCGATTGGTGCAGTCTGATAAGTGTCCACCAGGGGGACTCAGTCTGTGACAATAACCACATATGTTAGAGCCAGCTGGGTAACAAAAAATCCTTCCTCGCTGGGGATGTGGAGCTAAGCGAAATGGAGAAGAAGGAAAAGCATCCAGTAAGATGCTTCCTGAATTTTACACCAGAGAGGCAAGGAACACAAGGGACCAGGGCCTGGTCTGGGAACCAGAACAAATACATTGTTCTCATCCAGGCTTTTCCATTCAATCACTGTGTGACCACAAGCAAGTCACTTCATTTCCCTGTGCCATACAGTCTCCCCAATTTTAAATGAAGATCATCAAGGTGGGTTTATCATACCAGTTTAGAAGGTGGGAAACTCAGATGCATAGAACTGCAGCCTGTTGACACGCTAGATGTGAAGTGTGTTTGTTAACAGGGGACCCCCATGCGTGGTTCATAACCCCATGGTTGAAACTGCTGCTAAGCGTGTTTTTGAAACCATATGAGAGTAGGGCTGGATGCCCTTTTCCTGTACTACAGGGGGGAGTGGGTGTGTGGTGCCTGGGGGACGGCAGGGGGTGAACAGACTCTCAGCCACTAACTGTCTTCAGCATTTACACCAACGATCTGGAAGTCAATATCACATCACAGCCGGTAACATCTGCAGGTGGCACAAAGATTGGTGTCGTGGTAAATAATGATGAGGACAAGTCAGCCCATTCAAACAACACATCTGAATACAGCAAATGCCCAGTCCTAATCTAGGAGTGAGGGAGACTAACGAGTGGAAGAAATTGCCTAGGGAAGAGGTGGATTCTCTGTTTCCTGATGGCCTCACATCACACTTGGCTGCCTTTTTGGAAGGTGTGTTTCAGTGAAACACAAGCTATTGGGCTTAATATGGGGGTAGGGTGTGAAATTTCATGGTTTGTGAAATAGAGGCCTCATTAGGAGATCTAATGGCCTAAAAGAAAATCTATGAATCTTTGAAAAACTCAGTGTGGGGTGAGGAACAGACTCTGGGTAGCCTATTTGCTCCCCAGAATCAATAATGAGCATGTGGGGTGATCTGGGGAGCAGCTCAAACATCCTACTGGGCTGTCCAGGGGCAGACATCAGCCCTGCAAGGGAGAGGTGGGTGTGGCAGTGACTTCACAAGGGCCTTTGGCAGGAACTCAGCCTATTGGGCAGAGGTGGTGAGGAGGCTGTGACCTCACAGAGCTCCCTTGACATCAGCCAGGCAGGACAGGGATGCAGGGCAGGGGGAACCTGGGAGACCCCTGTAGCCTTGCTGCAGCAAGCCTCCTTCTCGCAGTCTCTCCTAGAGGACTAAGAGAGGATTTCTGTTCACGCACCTGAGTGCTAAGGAGGAGCTTCTTTGGAAGTGTTTCTCCTTTCGGTGTTGATTTTGCAGAAAGCAGATATCCCCTGTGTAGAAGGTAAGATTCTCAGTGAGGGTTGGAACCAATTCAGCCTGATCCATACGTTGCCAGCCGAGTTCTAGGTTCGGAAAACACAAGTAAAGTTGTCAGAAAAATGTCCCAACTCGGACTCCGCCCATTAGTAACGGGCTACCTAATAGGTCTCAAAATGTCCTTTTAAATAAGGAATCATTATCGAGCGGGTGTCTTTCTAGTAGGGTCCTGCAGGGATTGGTTCTTGGATGTACACTACCTAAAATTTTGATCAGTGACTTGGAAGCAAATATACAATCATCACTGTAAAATCTGCCAATGACAGAAAGATCGGGGGAGTGGTAAACAATGAAGAGGACATGTCACTCATATGGAGCCATCTTGATTGCTTAGTTACCGGAGCACAAGCAAATAACATATATTTTAATATGTCCAAATGTAAAGTTTCCCTTTAGGAACAAAAAATATAGGCTATATGTACAAGAGGAGGACTCTGTCCTGGGGGCACTCTATCATGGGAAATAGTAACCCTGAAAAAGACTTGGGGTCATGGTGGATGATCAACTGACCATGAGCTCCCACTGAGACACTTTGGCCAAAAGGGCAAATGCGACCCTGGGACCCATCCATAGCGGAATCTCCGGTAGAAGTAGAGAGGTTCTGTATCTCTGTACTGGGCACTGGTGCGACCACTACTGGAATATTGTGTCCAGTTCTGGTGTCCACAATTTGAGACAGATGCTGATTAATTTGAGAGGGTTCAGAGAAGAGCCACAAGAAAGATTAAAGGATTAGAAAACATGCCTTATAAAGATAGGTTCAAGGAGCTCAATCTATTTAGCTTAACAAAGAGAGGGTTAAAAGATGAGCATAAGGGAACAACTATTTGCTAATGGGCTCTTCACTTGAGCAGACAAAGGTATAACAAGATCCAATGGCTGCGAGTTGAAGCTAGACAAATTCAGACTGGAAATAAGGCAAACATTTTTAACAGTCAGCGTTTGAAGTAATTAATCCAGGATTGTGATGGATCCTCCACAACTAGCATTTTTAAAATCAAGATTAGCTGTTTTTCTACAATATGCGCTCTAATTCAAACAGGAATTATTTTAAGGGAAGTTCTATGGCCCATGTTATACAGACTAAATGGTCAGAGTGGATCTTTCTGACCTTGAAATCTATGACTCACTGAGGCGTTTGGAATTTGTCCATTTTTTGCTTCTCTTTTCCGCCCTTCCTCATGTCTTTTCTTTTCTCTTCTCTTGTTCCATTTCTCTCTGCTGCTCTTCTTCCTGAGGCAG